TCTTCGGCTTTGAAACAGAGATGAGCACCACCCTCTAAAGTTGGGAACAACTAGCACATGTGTACTAGGGGAACCCTTACTTTCCAAAAATATACTATAACACTTCCCTTGTCCAGAAAAGTTGATCTTTTCCAATTTATTTTATGCTCCAAGAAACCATTCCCTGATATTTCAGGCTGAAAAAAACATAATTTATTTCATACTATCTCAAAGCTCCGACCACATTCAAATGGGAGATGATGCCTTCTGAAAACTGACTCTGTCCTTGTTTGGCTTTCAGAAAGTCACCAAGATCTCAACCTCTACTGCAGAACACGTAAGTGCCTCTTCTCATGGATAACTTGTAATCTTCATGTGAAAATACTATTTCTATATTTCATGTCTGATTTTGGGGACAAATAAGCTACAGATGAAAAGTATTAATTATTTTTAATTTTAAAGTCCAACAAAGAAAAATAAGATAGCACACCATCAATATCAACGCTTCCAAACATAGTCATTTTCTCCAGCGAATTTGCCTGCATGACATGGCCAAACCAAGTGAGATGCAATTTTGGGATTTTTGCCTTCTAAGGGCATAGCTGGTGTTATGTACTTCAGTACTTGTTAGTCATCTTTGCTGTCCAAGGAAGACACAGAAGCCTTCTCCAGAACCACAGCTCAAACAAGTCGATATTCTTCCTGTCTTGCTTTTTTAAGGTCCAACTTTCACAACTCTAGGTAACTGTGAAGAACACGATAGAGTGGACTAACCTACATTTGGTTGCCAGGATGATGTCCTTGCCTTTTTGTATTCATCATTGCTGAATAGGAACATGACTCATGTTCATCATTGCTATGTGAATGAGATGTTTTACTTTTGGGCTGTATCCACCAGTTTGATCAATCTGTGATCCCAGGAAAGTGAATTTTTCCACACAGTCTATCTCTTCACCTTCAGTTTCTATTTCTATGTTTCCATTCCTTGCAGTGGTCATGAGCTTGGTCTTTTTGATGTTCAGAAAGAGACCAAAATTCTCATTTTCTTCTTTGATTTTCTTGACCAGATGTTCTAGTCTAGGCCTTCTTTGCTTTCTGAGAGGAGAGTTGTATATCAGCATATTGAAGATTGTTGATGTTTCTTCCTCCAATCATTACCCTAATTTTTGATTTAGCTTCCTCAGTATCATTTTGGCACAAAGGGTGAATAAGAAAGGAGAGAGAATGCAACCTTGTCCCACTTCTTTCTCTATCTTAAACGAACCAATCATGCATGCATGCATACATACAGTCCTTGACGTATGACAACAATTGAGGCCAAAATTTGTGTAGTTCAGTGAGACATTTGCTAAGTGAGTTTTGCCCTATTTGATGTCCTTTCTTGCCACAGTTGTTAAGTTAGTCACATAGTTGTTACGTGAATCTGGCTTCCCTATTGATTTTGCTTGCCAGAAGGTTGCAAAAGGTGATCACATGACCCTGGGACACTGCAACGGTCATAAATATGAACCAGTTGCCAAGCATCTGAATTTTGATCACATGACCATGGGGGTCCTGCAACACTCGTAAGTGTAAAAATTATTACAAGTCACTTTTTTCAGTATTGTAACTTTGAATTATCACTAAATGAACTGTTATAAGTTGAGGATGACCTACACACACACACACACATATTTATATAGACTTAAATGGCTACTTTTGAGAAAGGTACAATTGAAAACTATTTGTCTTGCTTCTACATGTTCCTTTTTGTTAGTAGGAATTCCATTCTTCTGGTCTTTGTACAGTTGTTTACAGTGGTGGCTCCCTTGCTGGTCATATAATATTTTCATTTTTATAAATTTGTGTGTCTATAAATATGTGTCTGCATTTCATGCTAGGGATGTGGTGGCTCAGTGGCTAAGACGCTGAGCTTGTCAATCAGAAAGGTTGGCAGTTTGGTGGTTCGAATACCTAGCACCGTGTAACATAGTGAGCTCCTGTTACTTGTCCCAGCTTCTGCCAACCTAGCAGTTCGAAAGCATGTAAAAATGCAAGTAGAAAAATAGGAACCACCTTTGGTGGGAAGGTAATAGCATTCCGTGTGCCTTTGGCATTCAGTCATGACCACAGAGACATCTTTGGACAGCGCTGGCTCTTTGGCTTTGAAATGGAGATGAGCAGCACCCCCTAGAGTCAGAAATGACTAGCACATATGTGTGAGGGGAACCTTTACCTGTACCTTATTACATGCTGATCTTTTCATTTGATATGAGTGATTGGACATACTAACAGACTCAGTTTTTACATTAACTGGAGGAGGAAAGAAGTCTTTTGCGAAGCATGATGTGGATGGTGCTCTGTTGAATACACCCTAACAGCTGAAATTCTGTGCCAGCTTGGAAACTCTACATCAAAGGCTCTAAGAAAAATAACATTCTACCATAAGAATATTTTATGCAAATTCACTTTATTGGCTTTTCTTATAATTCTGCTTCTGGCAGTCTAGAGGGAGGAACCATTTAATATGCTAAGTATCCATGCTTTATTCTTTAGTTCTGTGGTTCTCACACTTTCAGGTATTATGAAACCTTAAAATAAAATAAATGTATATGATCTCCTAGGAATTAATGGTTTCATTAATGTTAGGGTTGGGCAAGAAGTCAATATATTACTTCTAATAATTCAGTTTTAATCTATATAGCACATGGCCTCTCAAACATTATATTATATGACTTCCCAAACTTTATGGAGTCCACTGTGATCACTTGGGTAACAGAGAACAAAGGTTAGAGACAGTTTTAATAGTGTTCCATGTCACTTGCATAAGCCTGATCAGGTTTTTAAAAGTACTGTGATCCCCTTCTTATGACTATTCAGAGTATCTTGACTCAATCTGAAACCCCTTCAATCTCACCCACTAATCTCACTTGCATCACCTGGCTATAAAGAATTCATCAGACACTATCCTCATTTCTGTGCCATTTTTATTCCTTTGCAATCTTTTCTTTTAAAAAATGATAAGAGAACAGTTTTCATACTGATGTTATTCATTTACTGAAAATGTGGACGGCTATAGTAATGAGATTTTGTGGTTGCTGAGAAATCGGTGCTGCCATTTTTTTGATAATCTATTTGCAGCAAAAGTCCTGTGGATCACTCTTGATGTCCAAAGCCTACATTTCAGATTTAACAGATTAACAGAGTTGGAAGGGACCTTGTAGGTAATCTAGTCCAACCCCTCCACCCAAGCTTTCATATGCTTATAGAAAAATTTGGGGTGGATTTATGTGCACTAAATGTATTGGGACTGTAATTCTTACTACACCTAGCCATGGTTATGCTGTAGTCTCCATATATTTGTGGACACAAGTTGGGAGAAAACTGGAGTGGAGCATCAGTTAATTTGCGATAGAGCTCCAGGCTGTATCTTTTATGTCGGTGTTTCTCAACCTTGGCCACTTGAAGAGGTGTGTACTTCAACTTCCAGATTTCCCTAGCCAGCAAAGCAAAGTCCGCATCTCTTCAATTGGTCAAACTTGAGAAACAATGTTTTATGTCATTGGTTCTGCTAGACTTTTCTCAGGACATTAATGGAAGAACTCTTTTTTCATGCAATGCATCACACTCTGTAGGAGCAAAGAAGCAGGGAAAAATTACAAGGTGACAGAAGAAGAAAGGAAGCAGAAAATGAAGGATGCCACTGACTTGCAGAGTCTGGTATGTTCTCAAAGCTTGATTTTTTTAATATATTCAAGACTGTGCTTAAGCTGCTGTTTTCCTCTGCAGATGATCAGCTGCAATCATCTTGTCGCTATAAGTAGCAAGGGAAGTATCTCATGGAGTACATAAAATAGCATTAGAGTAGGCAAAATGGCACTGTCCCCTCAATGCATTTCTGTAGGACTTTCCTCTGGAGGATGTCAGGAAGTTACAAGCAGGTAAAAATGACTATAATGTTATTTACTCTCACCAGCTGAAAATCTTAAGTATTCGGTGGTACATTGGTGCCTCACCCGAACAGGAAACACTATAGCAGGGTTTCAAAAGACAGGTTCAGTCTTTTATGTGAAGGGTCTTTTCAGGGAGGATAGGTATCCCAGCGGCTCAAGATGAAAAGACCTTGGAGGGACGCTAACAGGGATTATAGGGAGGGAGCATGTGTACATGAAGCAATAGGAGGGGAGGCATTGCCCATAACAAAATGAGGTCATGAATGAGGCTACACTATGCTATTTGAGCCAGCAACATGGAAAACACCACATTTGATGTATAGCAAGAAAAGATTGACAAAGGCTGCTCACACAGTGGGCTAGGGATAAATTGAGAATGACATTATCTTCTTGATAAACAGTGAGGTCCCGATGCCACGGCAAGCAGGTCATATGGATGAGGCCTTTGTACTGCTCTGGAAGAGTCACTAAATAATAGAAGGTTAAGTCCAAGGAAGCTTTCTTTCTTCTTCTTGGGCTTCTTGCCCTTGGGAAGAGGTGGATCATCATCATCATTCTCTTTCTCTCTCTCTCTCCCTCCCTCCCTCCCCCCCTCTCTCTCTCTCTCTCTCTCTCTCTCTCTCTCTCTCTCTCCCTCCCTCCCTCCCTCCCCCCTCTCGTTACAGGAATACCAATTTGATGGCCGGGCTCAAGACCCCAGTAAGTTTAATCTCCAGTTGGTTTTAAATCATCTTCACACCTAGAGCAGAGTCCAATCAGTCAATAGAAAATACATAAATTCTCAATTTCCCATAAATGAGCTCTTGTATATAATTGCAAGAAAGGAAATACCAGAATTCATCTTTTAGCTAAAGCTGGATTTATTTGCAAGAGGCTGAGAGCTTCTACAGAGACTGCAGAGCTTAAGCAGTTGAAAACCTTTGCTACTGTATGTTGCTGGTTTCCTTACACATAATAAGGAATGATTGCCAGAGACCATACTGGATTTATGCCATTGTTATGCTCTGCAGTAACAGAGCAAGTAATACACTACCCTAATTCCTTGCTGGGAAGTCTGACTTTAGATGAAGGACGTCCTGTCTATGCTCTTTTCCCATAATTGTTAACACTGGATTGTGCTCTTTTTTTTTAAATTCTAGAGAAAAATTATAGGTCATTGAAGAATAGGTCATTGTATTATATGGGAGTAGATGATTACATATATGTGCACATTGGTTCTCATTCAGCTCTATGGACACTTTTGTCTCTTGGTGGCCTGATGGACATTCTTTTGCCTAAGTTGTCTATCAGAAACTCTTAAATATTGTAAGGTCATGCTTGTGTCATCAGTGAGGTTTTTTCCCCCCTTGTCTCACCCATTTTTTGGCTGCAGCCCATCACAAATCATTCAGATATAGTCCTGGGGCAAAAAAAAATCCCTCCACTCCATCACCTCCATGTACTGGGTAGTTTTCTTGATAGACCCACATTAGTGATTTGCATGGTTTTTTTTTAATTCCAGTCTCATCTGCAGCCCTTGTACTCTCTGCTGATTTTGCATTCAGGTATTAAAACAGCCCAATCTTATGTGGCTCTGAAACACAGACATTTTGCCAGATGATGTTACCCACTGTAGAGCATGCAAAAAGGATGAATAATTACAGGCCTATTAGCATGCCTATTGGTGGATCTCTATGGGTTTTCTGGGTCTGTGCAATGTTACAAAGTCGAACCATTTCATATTGAGAAGTGAAATTGATAGCAACTCTGGATAAATCGTTATTCCCCCTATTTCTGTACAGCCTTTAGGTATTGCATGACATTGTATAACATTATAGAATTCAACCTATTCTCTGTCTTAGAGCTGTGTTCTAAGATGGGCAGCTCTACAAAAATAAATAGAGCAAAAGATAGGAAGGCAAATCAGGCAAAAAGACGAACACTATCTCTTATTTTTTGTCTCAAGTCTCTGGCCAGTATTACCTGTTTGACAGCAGCACTGGAGCATGGCGTTGGGTGTGAGCATGGAGGAAAATGAAGAGCCAGCTTTCTGGACACCAGCAACTCTTTCTTTGGTATCTGCTGCCTATGCTGATATGGNACTTGGGCATACCAGGGGTTGTGACTTTAAGTATATATATATATATATAGTACTCCTTCCTCCTCCTATTTTCCCCATAACAACAACCCTGTGAAGTGGGTTGGGCTGAAAAAGAGGGACTGGCCCAAATTCACTCAGCTAGCTTTCATGCCCAAATTGGGATTTAAAGCACAGTCTTTTTGTTACTTTATGTTACTTTTTCCCCTCTCCATGTGATTTGGAATATGCATGTGAGAGTGAATGACTCTGAGGCTGCTATTCAGCACGGTTTTATCTTGCTATTGTAAAGTATTCTGACTTAGCTACTGAGAGAATGTCAAAAACTCCTAGAGCTGGTCGCATTAATCATACTAGTTTGGCTGCTGTAAATTGTAATTTGCAATAGGCGTAGGGCTAAACAATCCCTGGCATTGTTGAAACACTGTTGCAGGCTGAATAAGGAATAATAGATTGAATCTGAGTTATGACGAAGAATGGTTTGGAAAAAAAAATGTCCCTAAAATTCAAGAAGAATCAGCATCCAATAATTTAGCTCTTTCATGAGCTTCATGGGTAGAGTTTGACTGGGCGGAGCTTAGCATCTGATAAAACCTGTGTGTCTCTGCATACTAAATTTATACTATTATGATTTCAGACAACCCCCAAGAAGCCGATTATTTTGCATAGAACGGTGACATACTGGGAACCAGATGCAGGGTTTGTGGTGGTTCTTACACTCACTGGAGTCCTCCTCTTTTCTGCCTTGGGTCTGCTGTTTTGGCAATTCTGCCGGAGGTGAATATTTAGGAAAACCATATCTGTGTTACTAGCTTGAAATCTAACATTAACTACAAATTGACTTATTGATTATGCTGACTATTAGCAACTACTTAGACGGACCTTCTCCACGATGACTACAGTTATTAACATCAGCTATGCATATGATACTTCTTAGACAAAAACCAAATATGAGCAATCCTCAACTAAGGAGCATTATATTATTTGATAAAATATACTATAAGGGGCACGGTGGCTCAGTGGCTAAGATGCTGAGCTTGTTGATAGAAAGGTTGGCAGTTCAGCGGTTTGAATCCCTAGCATCTTGTAACGGAGTGAACTCCCATTACTTGTCCCAGCTTCTGCCAACCTAGCAGTTCGAAAGCATGTAAAAATGCAAGTAGAAAAATAGGACCCACCTCTGGTGGGAAGGTAACAGCGTTCTGTGTGCCTTCAGCATTTAGTTATGCTGGCCATATGACCACAGAGACATCTTTGGATAATGCTGGGTCTTCGGCTTTGAAACAGAGATGAGCACCACCCTCTAAAGTTGGGAACAACTAGCACATGTGTACTAGGGGAACCCTTACTTTCCAAAAATATACNGATAGCAAATGAACATGGTATTGAAATTTGGTTTTCCAGGCAATGCATAGCATTCTAATTTGGAAAAATATTTGATAGCAAATGAACATGGTATTATTTCATGTTCATGTCTGGAGAGAGGTTTAGTTTTTCTGTCTGTGACCGCTAACAGAAATTCTGTTAGAAACAGAATTTATACAGTACCATGGAGTACTGTTTTGAGATGCAAAGATTTCCATCATTTTTGGGAATAAAGCTTTCATATTAAAAGCTTATGTAATTCTTCTGCTGCTTCACATTACTTTAGCAGTATACCATCTAAATAAGATGTTTATAAAAGGTGAATAATACAATACTTTCCTCTGCAAAGACATAACAGGAAGAATAACCTTCATTCCTATTAGGAATGTCAAAACACTAGGATGGCCCTTGGGAAAATGTGAATCATTTGCTCTCATTGGTTTATGCAGTGTTTCCAAAGAATTTCTTTGTAACTTTTCATTAATAGAGTAAGAATACTATGAGGACTTCTGCACATAACTTGCAGCAGTTGGATTAGATTGGAGGAAGTCTATAAAATATTTACTCTTAGCTGGTTCAGGAAGAGTTGATGTAGTGATGTATGGTGTAGCAGACTGAGCAGAAGGAGGAGCTGAGGAACAAAGAAGTCTCAGAAATTAGTTCAAAATTTAGAATTTGACTTCCATAAGCCTTATTTTGATAAGTGCTAGGATAGGTAAGTCTGTGGTCTATCTGATTTTCATTGTTATTTTAGGTACAGCTTTTGTCTCCTAAGATATATTGTTATTAGTAGTACAAGCAGAAAGCAAGAATGGCTTACTAAAATGTAACAGTTTTGTATTCTGTGGGATATCTGGTCTTTTCATGACAAAGAGGGTAGAAAACAGTGGCACTGTTTCTCCAGCTTCTAAACTGCAAATGGATCTGGTATTCAACAGCTCAAAAGTTCTGGAATAGTATGCAACCCAGCAGTTGCATTTTGTCCTGTCCTGCTTTGCTTTGGTAAGCAAAAGAGTCCCAAGTTACACAGCTATGTTGTCCCACGAATGATCTTAACTTTCTGAATGGACTGTTTATGCACTGTGGTTTTGATTATCATATTATTACCCATATCACTGACAGTAATTTTAATAAAGATGTCTTACTAATGAAAACGGCTTCTTGTAGCCATCTAATTGTGCATTCATCTCACAATGATGGTGATATAAGGGTAGGCCAAGTTCTGCACTTTATGCAATCAAAAGAACACCATCATCATAACTGGGTTTATACCTCTGTATGCTTTTAATTCCTGAAAGAAAGAATGCTACCAAGCTACGTATGCTCTCTGTTTCCTCAGGATTATTGGAAATGATGCTATACTACCATTTCATCAGCAGGTTTAGTATTGTTTATCTATACCCTTTTGCCCAATATAGTTTAGGTGATATAGTTTATATGAAAGTTCTGGCACGTTTCTTTCTTGGAAATTACAATCAATTGTCCCCTTGAATTGCTACTTGCAAGATTAAATTAATGTGTTTGCAACTGCCCATAATCATCTATTATATGCAAAAGAATTCCAATAGCTTATATTAAATGTATGCAGGTAATTTTCCTGTTTAACTATAATAAATTCTTTATAATATTGATGTGCTGATTTTGTGGCTTAGAATATGAGTTGTGCAGGAACTGAATAACTTTCAGACCATTTTCTTTGAGTAAGATATTACAGATAAGCAAGGTAATTTATCAGCATAATATAAAGGGTTGCCCTTTCTTAGTCTAAACTCTCAGAAAGGAATTTTAGATAGATCCAGTTACAGTAGTGAGGAGTGCATTGTTGGGAGACTTGAAAAAATCAATAATCAATCAAATGTTATAAAATTATAACATGGAACCTTATGTGAGAAATGAATTCTATACTAGAAAATGGTAAATTTGGCCAAAAGAAGTGAATTCATTAAGGGTAGAGTAACTGGGCAGAATATTTGAATTGTGGTCTTAATATTTGCACATGAATACCAGTGGCTCCTCCAATTTGATCTTTGCAGTCATGTCATTTATAGCTCTTAGTTATCTTGTGATTGATTAGTTCCCTCTAAATTTTTCCTATTTATTTAATTAAAGCCTTTTGTGCTTTTGAATTTCTGTTTGATTCCTCAAGTTCGTAATGCTGTTCCTTCATTTTCCCCCCATTGTTCTTTCTGTGAATAGTAACTGCTATCTTGGTATAGTTTATAAAGCCAACTAGACATTTTTTTGCTACTTCCATTGTCTACAGGATATGGTTTTAAGATTTAGGTGGCAGTGTTGACAGATCTGAGAACACCATCCATTTCCTGGAGACTTACAGGTTTAAGGTTCTTCCAGATAATATGTTTAAAAGGGCTGCTGGTTGGTAATCTGACACAATAACGGTGGAAAAACAGTTGTATTTTGCCATTCTTATTGCTAGAATATGGCATAAGTGGGATCATTTACATATATTCATTTGAACTTATTCTATGTCTTTCTCCAGAGTGTTCTAGATGTCATTTGTGCTGCTATATTTTCTGGTGTTCTTCAGAGAAACAAGGAATCCCTGAGAATCAGGATACTGAAAGGGGCCATTCATGTGTACTTTTTTCCAAGATTTTTGTTCCAGGAAGTAGCAATAACAGTAGCACTAAAGCCGCACCACAGCGTTTTGCAGCACTCTGAGTAATTTACAAAGTCAGCATATCGCCTCCAACAATCTGTGCCCTCATTTTACTGACCTTAGAAGGATGGAAGATTGAATCAACCTTGAGTCAGTCAGGATTAAACTCCTGGCTTTGGGCAGAGTTAGCTTGCAATGGAGGTAATGACAACCTCTGTTACACTGATTACTGGAGCCTCAACACACACACACGCACGCACACGCACACACACGCACACACACGCTTCGAGCTCCTTCTGAAAATTTTTAGATCCCCCAGGTGCTTGAAATGGATTGGTCAAATTCCTGGAGCACTAAAAAACTCTTAAAACAATCAGAAAGTGATCTGACCCTAGCAAGGGACAGGTATTAATGTCTTCTAATTTCATACCTTATTGCAACTATTCTGAGAAAAGTAGGTGTAATTTGTTACTATCCATGTGTTTTGGCCCCTGAGTATCAGCTCCATTAGGTAGACCAGGGAGAAAAAAAAACTGCACAGAAAGTTTAAAATTGTTCTTTTATCGAGTTAGGCTATAGAATGGAATCTTGCAAGTCTGACTGTGCTTTACTGCCTCTCCTTTTATTCCAGTGAATTACAGTTTGTTTGAGCCACTTCCAAATATTATCGTGCTTCCTAAGAGTCAGGGTGGATTTGATTTAAATCAAGTCGATTTAAATCACTAGTAAAAGGCTTGATTTAAATCAACTTGATTTAAATCATAATTTTTAAAGAGCAACTGTCATCTCTGTCCTGCAGATGCTCCTCCTCTGATCTGCTGTTGACTCACCAACAGTCCCATTCACTTTAATGGGTCGGCTGGTGATGCAGCAGTGATACAACAAGATGAGGGACGTGCAGGCAGCAGGTGAGTGAATGCCTGCTAACAGGCACTGCCATGACGGATCTGAAATGACAGGTACTCTTTAATATTATATTTATAAGCTACTTAAAAGGTTTCACTTTCNTAA